GATGAATGCGCAAGTTATCCTTGCCAACATTTTGGTATATGTATAGATCTTAATAATGGATTTGAATGTCTGTGTCCATCACGTTATAGTGGAATGACTTGTCAAACCGATACTGGTAGGTCAAATTTAAGTCATGCGATAGAGAATAAAATTTGATCCGTACCAGCAATTAAGGAAGTCAATCTATAGTGTTAAATCCTAAACATATTCTCATACTTTACCAATGTTCCATTGTCCATATTTGGACATTGCATTACATCATTTATGTATATAATACATTATAAATCATTACTATCAGAAAAAGAAGTTTATAGTAAAAATGTTAACCTTTATATAAATAAATTTATTTAAAGCGAGGGAGTCGTCACCTGCGCATGTGTCAGATAGCCATAACGTGTCATTGTTCACAAACAAGTGTCTACCCATGACCCTTTGCGTTTTTAGCGTGTGTTGTTATTGTCGCCTGGGACTCAATTTCCTTGTGTGCGTAGGTGACAACCCTCCCGCTTTCAACAAAAAATTCCCAAAGTTAAATAAATTTGTTCAATTATGATGATGGTGATTTAAAACAACAATAATGAATCCCCACATTGTCTTTTTGGATTTGGACTTCAGAGAAGGGTTTAGACATGATAATGTGTTCATCTTCGCCTCGCACATTATCTTGTTGAGGGCGATGTTAAAATTAAAAATTAAAGCATAATGTCATAAACAACTACATTTGTTTATAGTTGATTCAGTGCGTTATCTTGGTGTGAAGCAATGCATGTGTGCATGTTTGTGGAGTTAGTGTTCTATGCACTGCACCACCTAGGTTACTGGTCACATTTTGACTGCGGGGTTTTGGACTTTAAAAAAGCCAAACTATCATCATTTCAGTAGATCGTCTCTTACAGTCTATACTGTACAAATAGTCATGAGATTAATTGATTTTAGTCAAGAGTTGCTCAGTTTCTAATTTGATGACAGTAATTACTTAACTAAAGTAAGCAAGTGAGATATAAACAAACATTTTATTTTTGACTCCCATGTGCGAAGCACAAAATGGGAGTCTTTGCAGTTAGTGTGTCTGTATGTGTGTGTGTGTGTATGTGTGTATGTGTGTATGTGTGTATGTGTGTCCGACTGTTCCACTGCTATCTCAAGAACCATACATCAGTTTTTGATGAAACTTGGTGCATAGATGCTCTGGGCCAATGCGCAGATTTGATTAGGTTTTGGTAAAAATCCATGCTCGTTAATTACCTAATTTGCTTGATAATTAGCTAATTTTTAGCTGTTCTATGACTGTTCCACTGATATCTAAAGAACCACTCATTGGATTTTGATGAAACTTGGTACATAGATGCTCTGAACATATGTGCAGATTTGATTAGTTTTTGGTAAAAATCCGTGCATATTAATTACCTAATTTGCATGATAATTAGCTATTTTGTAGTGGTTCCATGACTGTTCCACTGATATCTAAACAACCACTCATTGGATTTTGATGAAACTTGGTACATAGATGCTCTGAACTAATGCTAGGTTTTGATTAGTTTTTGGTAATAATCCGTGGATACTAATTACCTAATTTGCATAATGATTAGTCAATTTTCGGTTTTTCACTGATATCTCAAGTACTAATCATCA